AACTTAATAACAACAAAAATACGTTTAACTTCTTTAGTATAGGAAACCTGAAGTGCTGATATCAAATTCGTTTCACATGAAGTGAATTTTAATATTCCTTATCACCCTTAGGGTTCTCCTCTACACCTAAATGAACCTAAGTGATACCCAGTCCATTTGATAACAACCTATCGGCATTCCAGTCAATATGACTAAATTTTGAAAACGCTGCTCTATGGAAGGAGCAATTTCTCACTTAGGAGACCGGCATGTGCCGGAGACCCCGTAGAGGCTCGCATTCTCCCCGGTGACATTGTATTCTGTTGATGATAGGCATGATGGTGATAGGGGTAGGAAGACACTAGATTCGCCGACTTGGCACTCTCCAAATCACTGTCAATCGGCGTGGTTCTACAATCGGACTCAGAGCCTCTGCATGTTGGGACACTTGCAGAACCAGCATGCCCTCGCGAAGTGTGTACGAGAACTGGTTGACTGAGGATTGAACCAGTTACAGGGAGTCCAGAACCTGAACCGCCTGCATTGCCAACCATCATGAAAGGGAGACCTGTGCAGGGATTGTTGAAACCACCACCTCCACCAGAATTCTCAAAGTTTATTGGAGGAAGTTGTGGGGGCCCATGAAGAAGGCTTTCAAGACCGCTGCTTCCCATTCGATGCGCATATCGACCATCACAGCAACTTGGAGAGCCGGAATGATGGCTACTCTGGCTTGCCTGAGTCAGTGGTGAGTTGATGTCAGCCTTTTCCGAAATTCTAAAGGAGGGCATTGAAAAGCACAGTATGTAAAATTGTTAATTGCCCAAAGAGGTCAAGTAGTATCCAGTTGCACATCCTTTATAGAAGGTTAAAAGCGAGGTCATATGATTTGGTATTCCACTAACATCTTACAATAGAGTCTCTATTAATTCTACGCTTGTTAAGAATTAAATTATTCCAATCGAAGATGCTTAGTTATGATCGTCGATAAAGTGTTCGTAGCATGATGATAAATGCAAATACCTACTAAAACCAATTAAGTAGCAAATAATAATCAAAATCATTGAAGACTTGATTTCAGTCACCTTTGTCACTATATATTGGGAAGTGATTGCGATCCTAGAAACTGAGTAAACATTAAAATCGTGATATTTTAAATTAAGTTTCCTTGTGACAAAAAGTATGATTTCTCAAGGTTTTTGTTAGAGAGTCACCTATTTTAGCGAAGGTTAAGTGCTCACTTATGTAAAAACTGGGGGCTGAGCTCTGCAAAGTTAACGCCAAGTATTCATCCCTTCATCTGATATCAAAAATATGAATCTAGATTTTAAAATATTTGTCATGGAAACCACAAGAAAGTTCAGGCTCTTTTGAAAATTATTCAACCATATTGAAATTCCCTCATGACCCGAAGGTAGAACAAGAAGGTAAAAAACAAAAGAAATCTTTTTATGCATGTACATTTTCATATTTTATTTCGATATATGCTTTATTTTTTATGTCCTAAACGTAGTTGGGTTGCAAAATAATTTTGTTGAATCTATAGACTAGATAGAAATTTGTCAACGTATTGCATTATTGGTGTCTCGATTCTAGAGTTTCGGCTAAGAGAAACATTATGGAATACGAAAAACATAGTGATAGAATCTCTGATTTGTTTCTTTTCGTGTGTGATTGGTGCCATTGTTGTTAATAGTAATAGGGACTAACAAATAATAATTACCTTCGATTAGATTCGGCATAGTACGCCTTTCTGGTTCTGTCCATGCGATTTCTCGTACATCTTCGGGTGACAAGAATTGTCACTGCCAAAATTAGTATAATAATCACTGCGACAGCAAGTATAGCTGAAACAAGGATCCATTGATTTGGACGTTGGAGTGCACTGGTGTCCGCTGGTTCAGAAGACAGACCCGTTTCAGGTGACCTCAAGGATTTGAGAAGAACGTCAATTTCTTCCGAAAGACGTTGAATTCGAGCTGGAGTCATTTTACTCATCTCGTAGCTCTCACTCAGCATATTCAGATTGATAAACCCAAAGCCATCAGCTGTAAGAAGAGTGGCAAATATTTATTTTTATTTACTGCAATATTTCCAATCATCATTCATTTGAACTGTCTTCTGGGCTCTTATATTTACATTTAGAAGGGTGTGCGATAGACTTACCTCCACGTGGAGCACCCTGGGCAACGTATATTTATACGGCAAAAAAGTCTATTAACCGGCATTTGACTTCTGAACTATCGGCAAAAAAATTCTATTAACCGGCAGTTGACTTCTGACTTCAACGCAAAAAGGTCTATTAACTGGCAGTTGACTTCTCACTTCCCAAAAAAGTCTATCAACCGGCAGTTGACTTCTGACTTCAACTCATACGTCAAAAAGTCTATTAACTGGCAGTTGACTTCTCACTTCAAAATACCATTACCTCGCTGTATGTCATATTCGACTACTTCCACAGTACTCACATCACCTTTTTTCTACCTTTGTGTCTGTATCTTCTACATCTTACCTTTTCTCTGCCTTTATGCCTGCCTGTCTCTTTTACATCTTTGAAATGCTCTTCTGTTCCCCATCCCTCT